GTGTGTGTGTGTGTGTGTGTGTGTATACAGTGTGTGTATACATAAATACATACACTTATAAAAATTGAGATTATCCACTATTATCTGACTTTTATGGATTTTCATTTAAACAGTACTTTTGGGACATCTGTCCATATCAGTCTACAGAGCGGCTTCTTACTCTTTTAACTTCTGTATAATAGTCTAAGTTCTGGATTTATAGTTTCTTCAACCCTTCCCCCATTGATGTTATTTTGCTTGCTTCCATCTCCTGCTGTCTTCAGCATCCCTGTACATTTTGTGCAGGTGCTTCTGCAGGATGGGTTTCTAGATGTGTATTGCAACCAAAGGCACGCATGCTCCTTTTAAACGTGGAGAGCTGTGAACCAATTGTTCTCCAAAACAACTGTGACTATCATGGCCCCCCAAACCATTTGAGGCCCATGTTTTGGAATTATTTTTACTGTCTAGTTTGTTTAGGGAGTTGAGACTTTTCCCTTGAAGTCTGTTCAGTAGGATGGCAGGTGTGAGGACAGATGAGAGAGTGAGGCACAGGTGAGAGAGAGTTGACTGTGTACTGGTTCGTGTTTGGAGGCAAAAGGGCTTCCTAATAGGACTGGAATCTCCACTTAAAGTCTAATTGCTGATTTGCTACCTCACTGTAGAGATTAGTTCCTTTTGTTCTAGCTAAATTAGCTGTCAGGAAAAAAGTCCTGAAATAGATTTAAGATACAAAATTTAAGCATCGGCAGAAGAACTAGATGGTGCCCGGCCACCACCAGTGACCACCCTGACAGGGAAAACAACAGAGAGTCCCTGACAGAGCAGGAGAAAAGTGGAGTGCAGAACTCAAATCCTAGTAAAAAGACAAGACTTAATGGTTTGACTGAGACTGGAGGGACCCCAGAAGACATGGCCCCCGGACTCTCTGTTAGCCCAGAACTGGAACCATTCCTGAGGCCAACTCTTTAGACAAAGATTAGACTGGACTATGGGACATAAAATGATACTTGCGAAGAGTGTGCTTCTTAGCTTAAGTAGATACATGAGACTAAATGGGCAGCTCCTGTCCGGACGCGAAATGAGAAGGCAGAGAGGGTCAGGAGCTGGTTGAATGGGCACGGGCAATCGGGTAGAAAGGAAGAGTGTGCTGTCAGTATAGGAAGAGCAACTAGGGTCACATAACAATGTGTGTATAAATTTTTGTATGAGAGACTAACATGAATTGTAAACTTTCACTTAAATCATGACAATTAAAATAAAAAAGTGTCAGTCTATAAACATAAATAATATGCTTCAAAAATTGTGCGATACCTTCTGATTCTTCCCTAGAGAGCAGTGTAAATGCTGAAGAGTATCATATTTAATGTTATATTCTTTAAGTAGCAGTATAAGAAAAGAGAGAAATGATCGCTTGAAGGTTAAAGTATCATCACTCTGGAAAAGCCACTCAATTAAAAAATAAATAAATATATAGAGAGAGAGAGAAATTTTTTTAATAGACAGTTTTACCTTTCTCTTCTTATTTCTTTATGTCTTTATTTTACCCTCAGCCAGTTTCCTAATTCATATTTAAAAGAAAAAATTAAACAACTTTTTTGAACCCTGAAGGGTCTAAGTGCATAATACAAAGTGGCTTCAAAAGCCAGCCTCCACAAAGAGCAAGGTGGTCCAGCGACCTATTCTTTGGGCTCTCCCAGCCCTATCCTTTCGCCCTTATTTGTGTATCTTCTTAACTTTATTATATACTTTTACCCAGGGACTATCTTGGTAGAGAGTTATTTTTAAAAACGGGAAAGACAAGTTCATGGTTTGCCCAGTTTAACTGATCTGGAATCCCTTGGTCTTAAGAGAGGCACAATTCAAATTTTCCTTTCTTGCAGAGTCCGGTGAAAGACAACAACGGGGAGATCATTTTAGAAACAAAGGCTGTGATTCCGGGCAATGAAGATGCTCCATTTCCTCCCCTGAAATCTGAAGACAGTGGGATTGGGCTGAGCGCGTCATCGCCAGAGCTCTCTGAGCATTTGAGGGTCCCCAGGGTCTCCCCAGAAAGAGATGACGTTTGGAAGAAGGGTGGGAGCATGCAGCACACCTTCCATTGCATCCAAGAGCTCATCACAAACTTTGCCAACAAGAACATTTTTGGGGTCCCACTAACCACATCTGGAGAAGAAGGCAAGTCAGAAGAGCCCGTAGGCAAGAGGGACAAGAGTGGGACACAGGATGCCATCGCTGAGGATACCAGCAGGAAGAACTCATGGGACACCAGGGCCATCACTGTGCCCCAGTTCAAGCAGATGCTTTCAGACTTGTTCACGGTTCGAGGGTCTCCATTTAAGATGAAAAGTTTGACATCACCGTCATCTTTGCCCAGTAGCCCTGGCAGGAAAAAAGAGGGAGACTGGGATGTTGCCCAGGTGGTCATTGACCTGGGGGGCTCACGGGAAGACTGCAGGGGGGCCTTCGCTGCCGCCTGCCACCTGCTGCTGGACTGCGCCACCTTCCCCGTCTACCTGTCCGAGGAGGAGATGGAGCAGCTCTGCCAAATGCTCTTCCAGCCTCCTGGTGAGCGGGCGGCCCTGTGTCAGGTCTATTTTTGAAATAATGCTGCTGCTTGTTGTTGTTAGCTGCCACGGAGTCAGTCCTCACTCATGGTGATCCCACGCACAACAAACGAAACGCTGCCGGTCCTGTGCCGTCCCCATGACTGGTTGTGGATCAGACCATTGTGATCCATGAGGTTTTCATTGGCCGATTTTCTGAAATAGTTTGCCAGGCCTTTCTTCCCGATATTACGTACACGAGTGATATTTACCGACTAGCTAAAATTATGTTTCCCAAGAAGGGACTCTTGGCCGCATTCATTTCATTCCTTATTATAGTTAGTTGTGTACGTTTTTAATTGACGTCTCACTGAATTGCAGGTTGTAAGGGTCGGGTCTGTATTTTTAAATGTTGGATGACCCGCACGGCCCATCATAATGCCGGAACGTGAAAGGTACTTAAAAATAATCGGTAAATAATTTTTTTCATGGTATCTATTGCTAAAGGTTTATATAAGGCAGAGAACACTAAACAAAAAAGGGAACGAGGGGAAGGAGGAATTCAAGAAAGACTGATCAGAAAGGCAGGCACTTTGGGCAAAGATCTCCTCTCCTGTAGTCATTAAATTTCACATAGAGTTTGTCTCTTGGCTCTCATTAACTGCAGATGACAATATTTGGAAAAACATTCAGAATTGATACATTCAGAGTATTTTTAGTCTCTGTTAAAGCTAATCGGAGGGCAGTGGTGGTTCGGTAGTCGAGTTCTCCCCTTCCATGCAGGATACCCGGGTTCAGTTCTCAGCCAGTGCATCTCATGGGCAGCCACCACCCATCTGCAGTGGAGGCTTGCATGTTGCTGTGTTGCTGAGCAGGTTTCGTTGGAGCTTCCAGAGATGCACTAGGAAGAAAGGCCTGGTGATCTACTTCCAAAAATCAACCAGTGAAAACCCTATAGATCACAATGGCCTGATCCACAACTTATCATGGGGATGGCACTGGACCGGGCAACATTTCATTCCATTGTGCATGGAGTTGCCGTGAGTCGGGGACCAACTCCATGGCAGCTAGCAGTGACAACAACAAGGCTAATGGCATGTCCTCTACTGCAAAGAGAGCCTCCGGAAAACATTTTCAACTCTACCCGCAAAATGTGAATTTTAGTGTATGTAAAACAGAGCCATGGTGGCGCAGTGGTTAAGTATTCAGCTGCTAACCAGGTCGGCAGTTCAAATCCACCCCGTGGGGCAGTTCTACTCTGTCCTGTAGGGTCACTATGAGTTGGAATCCACTCAATGGCAACGGGTTTTGGTTAAACATTAAAACAGAGGCCTGGTGGCACAGTGGTTAAGTGTTTGGCTGCTAAGCAAAAGGTTGGCAGTTCATATCCACCAGCCACTCCTTGGAAACTCTGGGGGGCAGTTCTACTCTGTCCTATAGGGTCACTATGAGTCAAAATCAACTCGGTGGCAGTGGTTTTTTTGGTTTTGGAAGCATTAAAGCAAACAAACCAACCAAAAAACATTTTAAGAAATCTGTAAGCCCTTAGATTAACATTTGCAATTTTTAATATTCTGACAAACCTATGAAACCAGCCTGAGTCTCGTTTTTTCCTCTGGCCTGAATGACGACAGCGTCTCGGTGCCACCGCCAAGAGGTGAGCACACTGCTGGCCAGGCGACTTCCAGGCTCCAAGGGCGCTGTAGAATCTGAAAGCCGGGGCGCCACTCACATGTGGTCCTGTTTGTTTCAAGTGTGATTTCTCTGACTGGCTTCCTTCCAGGAGAGTGTGACCCCAGCTTTCCGTCTTGGATGAAGTCCCTTATGACCACTGGCTGCTGTGTGGCCGACTGCTACCTGCAAAATGTGGCCATCTCCACGCTGCTGGAGGTGATCAACCATTCCCAGTCGCTGGCACTCGTCATCCAAGACAAGATGAAACGCTATAAAAGCTCTGGACACAACCCATTTTTCGGCAAGCTGCAGATGGTTACAGTTCCTCCGATTGCTCCAGGGATATTGAAAGTCATTGCAGAGAAAACAGACTTCTACCAGGTATTTCCCATGTCTTCCTCAGACCTTTTATTGAAAGTCATCCCCGAGGTGGTGGTGGTTGTCAGTGGTAAGGAATATGGCGGCTCCAGTGGCAACTAGAGAGGTTACTTGAACCAAAGACTGCCTTGTCCGTCTCTGTATCCCAGGGTCTCGGCCCAGTTCTAGCCCTGCAGTGACTACTCAGTAAATATTTGTGTTCAGATTTAGGCTGACCAGATTTCACATGTGAGGATTTTAAAATAATCTAACTAGTGCTAAAAAAAAAGTGTGTGCCCTGATTTGTAAGATTAAAAGCTTTGAGGTGATCTAGCCTCAGGAAAGAAGTTAAAGGATGACAGTACTTGTCAGGAGCCCTGGTGGCGCAGTGGTTAACAACTACAGCGGCTAACCAAAAGGTCAGCAGTTCAAGTCCACCAGCCACTCCCTGGAAACCCTATGGGACAGTTCTGCTCTGTCCTGTAGGGTCACTATGACTCGGAATCAGCTCATCAGGGCAATGGGTTATGCCTTTGTGGGTGCCCTGGTGGCACAGTGGTTAAGAGCTTGGCTGCTAACCAAAAGGTCAGCAGTTCAGATCCACCAGCCACTCCCTGGAAACGCCATGGGGCAGTTCTACTCTGTCCCATGGGGTCGCTGTGAGTGAGAATCGACTCGATGGCAACCGGTTTATTTGCTTACTTTGTCCCCGAGAAAAGATGGACAACACCTGCTCACCATCTCCACAAATAATCTTTCTTAAAAAAACAAACCCTTTGCCGTCAAGTCGATACCGATTCACAGTGACCCAAGGCATGGCTGGTGGATTTGAACTGCCGACCTTTTGGTTAATAGGCAAATGCTTAACCACTGGACCACCAGTAAGAAAATACTTTGAAGTTACATACTGTAAGGTTCATTTGATTGCAGGAAGCTGAAAGCTATTCTAGCTACCTCAGGATAAGATTGAAGTTCATGACAAAGATGGAGAGAAAACCAAACCAAACCTGTTGCTGTTGAGTTGGCCCCTGGCTCATGGCAACCCCATGTGTGCAGAGTAGAACTGCCCCGTATTGTTTTCTGGGCTGTGATCTTTATGGAAACAGATTGCCAGGCCTTTCTTCCATAGTGTTGCTGGGTGGAGAGAGCTCATGCAACTCAAAGGGCGGGAGTGGAATGCAGCTGGTTCTCCTGGTGTCTAGACTGGGAAGCTGTTAGACCCTGGGGCTGCCCTCTCTGTCTGGGCACTGACGCGGCAGGCACGTCTGCTCACTACCAGCCAGGGTTCACCTCACTTTTGATTGCTACCTTGGTCTTAAGTCTGCCTTATGACCCTCAAGCTTGGTTCCCATAGCTAATGACTCTTAACATCTATTAAACAGCCTGTCTGTGAAGCACCTTTGGGTCAGGTGTCTTCTGCTTGTCCCGTCTGCTGTAGCATTGACAGGTTCTGAGAGGGCAGGCGCTCGGGGGTCTGTGAATGGAACGAATTTCCCCTGCAAGGGGTAGGGCGGCAGACACGCTGAAAAGTCTGAGACACTAAGGGATTTTATTAGACATTTTAAAATTGTGCGTGTGAATGAGGTATAATTGTTGTTTGCTTGTCTGTTTATTTAATGACTTGGCTGGATGATTTTAGCGGTGTGTTTGCCATGTGAAGCTGTTGGTGGGCTCCTTGGGGAGTGCAGCCTTCTGTGGGCACAGCCATCCTGGGCTGATGGTGGTTTTCGCAGAACTCTTTGTCTCTTCCATGATCTCTCTGTTAAGCTCCACTAATTACTAGCTGATTGCTCTTTTGCGATCGACAGTGTCTTGAGGCATAAATCACTCCACACTCTGATCCAATTAAATTCAGATCCCTTTGCAAGGGTAGTTTCCCCCCACCTCCTTGGCTTTTTTTTTAATTGTGCTGTAAGTGAAGTTTACAATTCAAGTTAGTTTCTCATACAAAAATTTATACACACTGTTATGTGACCCTAGTTGCTCTCCCTATACTGTGACAGCACACTCCTTCTTTCTACCCCAGATTTCCCATGTCCATTCAGCCAGCTCCTGGCCTTCTCTGCCTACTCATCTCACCTCTAGACAGGAGCTGCCCATTTAGTATTAGGTATCTACTTGAGCTAAGAAGCTCACTCTTCACGAGTATCATTTTATATCCCATAGTCCAGTCTAATCTTTGTCTGAAGAGTTGGCCTCAGGAATGGTTTTAGTTTTCGGCTAACAGAGAGTCCAAGGGCCATGTCTTCTGGGATCTCTTCAGTCTCAGTCAAACCATTAAGTCTTGTTTTTTTACTAGAATTTGAGTTCTGCACTCTACTGTTACCCCAATAATGTGGATTGGAGCCGCTTGCCACAATAGCCAATTCTGAGACAAGGGTGAGGTGAGCGGCAAGAGGTTTATTATATATCGATATATAGGAGACAGAGGGGAATAGATTCCTCCAAAAAACCCATCTCCCCCGCTGGAGATCGGCTGAAGGTTTTTATAGGGACAGGATTATGTATCTTAGAAGTTTGTGTTAGTTTCCCCCTGAGGTGGTGATGTCTTAGATGAGTTAATCTTCTACTGGTGTTTTTGGGGGTTATCTGGTGACATCCTTGGGGATTATCTGGCGACATCCTGGTTTTTTCTTGCCACAGGATGGGTGCTTTGTTTGGTTTTTATCCTTAGATCATTATCACTTGTGCTTCACTCTCCAAGGAGGAACATCGGTTAATCTTAAACCTTTTGTAGAGACTGGAGAAACAAGATCATGAGACAGTGTGGCGGTTAGTAATGGGGAGTAAATAATAGTGAGCCAGGCCTGTGCAGCCTCTTCCACTACTTTTCTTCCGCTCCATCAGGGACTCTGTTGTGTTCCCGGTCAGGGCGGTCATTGGTGGTAGCTGGGCACCATGTAGTTCTTCTGATCTCAGGCTGATGAAGTCTCTGGTTTATGTGGCCCTTTCTGTCTCTTGGGCTAATATTTAATTTGTGTCTTTGGTGTTCTTCATTCTCCTCTACTCCAGGTGGGTTGGGACTAACTGATGCATCTTAGATGGCTGCTTGCTAGCTTTTAAGACCCCAAATACCACTAACGCAAGGGTAGTTTTTGAGGCCAGTCGTTGAGATTCATTCTACCTAGAGGAACTCTTCTTGGCTATCTCTTTCCTAGTCCTAAGGCTTAGCTTGTTGCTCTCAGGGAGCTACCAGCCTCCTCTTAATGGCTTACCACCCAAATAGCCATTGTTTCTCAGAGTGCTCTTAGGCTTCACCTTTCCCATGCTCTGTTCCAGATAAAGTCATTTCCCCCGGGGGGGGCTACAGAGCTCTCTGTTCTATGGCTGCCTTTCCCCTGTGCAAAATCTCTGCACTGTCAAATGGTCCGTTTCTATTAGAGTGACATCCTTCAGGGTGCTGGGCAAGGGCCATAGCCTCTGGTCTTCTGGGCCCACAAGGGACAGTCCAAAAAAAACCAAACCCATTGCCATCCAGTCAATTCTGACTTATAAGGACTTTGGAGCCCCCGTATTCTGGGGTAGAGCCTCTGCCTAAGAATGGTGGCTGGGTGGAGGGTGGGAGCCCTCTTAACCACACTCACCAAGAATTTAACTTCTGCAGCACGGAGCAGGGAATGAGAAATGGCTGGTGTCCGTCCCTCCTGGGGAGATACAGAAGCCCTGACTGGGAGCCACAAGGACAGGGAGCCCATCTTCTTGGTCACACTCACCTGGAGTGGAGCTTCTGTCAAGCTGAGTTGGGGATGGCGAAGGGAGCAGGTCATGGGTCAAATGTTTCAGACTCCCTGTTCTTACCAAGATTTAGTCAATTTTCCTAAATCAGTGTGTCTTCATCTGCTGTATGCCATGAGAACAATTTCCAGAAACTTTAAATGGTTCGGTTTTTAAACTGGTTTATACCAGTTGTGGGTGTTTTGCTGGGGGAGGGTCTGTGGAGATCCTCACTCCAATCCTGACTCATTCTGACCCTCGCGCGCGCCCACTTTGACCCCTGCGCGTGTGCTCACTTGGACCCCTGCATGTGCTCGCTTTGACCCCGGCGCAGTAGAGCCATCAGTAGCGTTAAGCCCACGTGCAATCCCATTGCTCTCAGCTTTTCCTCCTGAGTGCACCTCCTCCTCTTTCTGCCAAAGTTGGCTTAGAGGGTAGATCTCGAATCTGTAGAACTTGAAGCCAGGAACAGCTCCACTATAGGCAGCGATGATTGGGCAGGTCTTTCCTTGGTCTTCTGTGGATCAGAAAGTTTAGCATAATTGCATTTTAGGCACAAGGAGGAAAAGAGAGGAAAGAATATAGTCCGTGAATCTTTGGGAAAGAATATTGTCATTGTTGTTAGTTGCTGTCAAGTCGATTCCAACTCATGGCGACCGCATGCGTGCACAGTAGAACCGTGCTCCACAGGGTTTTCAAGGCTTTTGGAAGCAGATCACCAAGCCTATCTTCTGAGGCACCTCTGGGTGGGTTTGAACTGCCAACCTTTTGGCTCGTAGTTGAATGCTTAACTATTTATGCCACCCAGGGACTCCTTAAAAGAATGTTAAAAGAATAAAAATAACAGCATTAACCGCTTCCTCCTTGTTTTGGTGATATAGGGTAGACTTCCCAAGTTCTTTCTGAAGCCTTGATTTTTATTATCATTCAGATTTCATAAACACCTGGGTATCTACTCCTTGCCTGGTCCTGCAGTATACTTCTATGTGTTATACAGTTCTCATGCTTGCGGGTAGTGTGACTGTGCTTGCCCATGTTGCCGATCTGGAAACTAGGAAAGGTGAAGCTGCCAGCCCAAGTGGCCAGGGTGTGGCCCAGTGCAGGGCTATTTCCAGATCTCCACCTGGGCTGCTGGCCTTTTTCTCATTCCCACAGAGCAGCTCACATACCAGTGTTCTTGCTGCCCAAAGTGCAGAAGAGAATAAAGCCAGATTTATTGTTGTTATTAGTTGCTGTGAAGTTGTTCCCGACACATGGCAACTCTATGTATAACAAAACAGAACATTGCCATGTCCTGCATCATCTTTATTATTATTATTATGCGTTTGGTGAAAGGTTACAGAGCAAATTAGATTCCCATTCGATAGTTTGTACATAAAGTGTCGCATGGCCTTGGTTTCATTCCCCATAATGTGTCGGCACTCTCCCCATTTTCACCCTGGGTTCCCCATTCTGTATCATCTTCGTAACTGTTGGTAATTGTAGTGTTCTGTTGTGATCCATAGGGTTTTCATTGTCTGTAGGGTTTTCAGACGTAGATTGCCAGGCCTTTCTTCCTAGTCTGTGCAGAAAAGACAGTGTTATCATATAGGAAAAAAATGGACCAGAAAAAGAAGTTATTTGATCTAGAATGTGCCTAGAATATTACAATAGATGAGACATAAGTGTCTTCTGTAACATGGAAGATGCCCCCAGACAGTTCACCCTGGAAATGGGGACTGACCTCCTTCTGTACCTCACCTTTTTGGGCCTGCTGTGACCCCCCTGGGACTTAGAGAGGGGCTGCCAGAAATCGCAGATCCCAGAGGTTTAAAGGGCTAAGGTCAGGACTGGAGAGATGGGAGAACGAGATCAGGGGTGCAGTTTGTGTCCTGAAAGTGAGCCAAGCATCTGCCATCACATCACCACATAGCAAGTGTTATGGAGTGAACTGTGTCCCCCAAAAATGTGTGTCAACTTGGCTAGGCCATGATTCCCAGTATAGCATGATTGTCCACCATTTTGTCATCTGTTGTAATTTTCCTATATGTTGTAAATCCTAATATCTATGATGTTAATAAGGCAGGATTAGAGGCAGTTATGTTAATGAGGCAGGACTCACTGTACAGGATTAGGTTATATCTTGAGTCAGTCTCTTTTGAGATATAAAAGAAGCAAGCAGAGAGGAGAGGGACCTCATACTACCAGAAAAAAAAAAACAAGAGCCAGAAGGGTGCACATCCTTTGGACCTGGGGTCCCTGCACCGGGAAGCTGCCAGACCAGGGGAAGATGGATGACAAGGACCTCCCTCTAGAGCTGACAGAGAGAGAAAGCCTTCCCCTGGAGCTGGCACCCTGAATTCAGACTTCTAGCCTCCTAGACTGTGAGAGAGTAAATTTCTGTTTGTTAAAGCCCTCCTCTTGTGGTATTTCTGTTATAGCAGCACTAGATGACTAAGACAGCCAGTGTGAGCAAACCAAACCGGTTGTCATCCATTCGACTCTGATTCATGGAGACCCCATGTGTGTCATAGTAGAACTGTGCTTCATGGGGTTTTCAATATCTGATTTTTCAGAAGTAGATCACCAGGCCTTTCTTCCAAGGCATCACTGGATGGACCCAAACCTCCAACCTTTCAGTTTGCAGCCGAGCATGCTCACCGTTGGCACCACCCAGGCGAGGGAATCAAGTACATAATGTTTAGCTTAGGACTGGGTGCTCCTTGGCACCATTGCAAACCCACTGGACCTCCTAGCGGGTGCATCTCTGGAACCCCCATGGTGGCACAGAGTGAGGCCTGGCACTTGCACATTGAAGGACGCTTCAACCACCAGATTCTGGCTTCTGATTGATACCCTTTCTCAAAGTGATGCTAAGGTCTGGGCCAGGGCCTCAGTGCTCTTCACTGGTCAGTAACCTCCAGGTTTAAACTTATAAAGCTGCCAGTTACGTAGAATGGGGAAATGCATAGAGACAACAGGTTATTAGTGGTTACCATGGGCTGGGAAGAGGACGAGTAGGGAGTTATGTTTAAGGGTACAGAGTTTCTGTTTGGGGTGATGGTTTTGGAAATAGATAATGGTGATGGTTGCACAACTTGGTGAATATAATTAATGCCACTGAATTGTACACTTAAAAATGGTTAAAATGGACAACCAAGCTGTCCATCAGCAGGTAAATGGATAAACCAGTTGCCGTAATGGTATACAATAGAATACTAATGAGCAATGAAAATGAGCTAACCACAGATACACTCAGCAACATGGTTAAATCTCAGATACATTATGTGGAGCCAAAGAAGGCAGATGCAAATGATTATATACTGTATATAGTCGATTTATATAAAGGTCAGAACAGATAAAACTGATCTGTAATGATAGAAATCACGTCAGTTGTCTGGTGTAGACGGAGAGAGTAGAACTGACCGCAAAAGGAACTTTCTGTGGTTCTAGTTCTCAATCAGGGTGATGGTTACATGAGTATCTACATTTGTCAAAACATCAAACTATAAAACTAGTACGATTGAAGAACAGGAAAAATGGTTAAAATGGAAACTTTTTTGTTATATGTATTTTGACATGATGAAATTTTTAAGAACAGAGTTGCCTGTTGCTGGGATGAGTCCTAGTGGGTTTTGGCTTGGCTTGTTTTGGTGGTCCTCATTGCACTGAGGACCCTCACAAAACAAGTATAGGTGGAAGTCCACACACTGGGGCTGGGGCTGGACCGATGTGAGGAGGACGTGGCCGTCATGCCTGGGCTGACCCGCTCTCCCGTGTGCCTCCTCCTTGCCCCAGAGGGTGGCCCGTGTGCTTTGGAATCAGCTGACGAAGGACACCCGGGAGCACCACGTCACTTGCGTAGAGCTATTCTACCGGCTGCACTGCCTGGCTCCGACGGCCAATGTCTGTGAGGACATCATCTGCCACGCCCTCCTGGACCCCGACAAGGTGAGTGGTAGTGAACTGGCACCCCCTCCTGCAGTGGCCCCCTGCTGGGCTGGTTGGTAGCTCTCCATGCCCAGGGCAGGCTCTGGACTTCCTTCTGGGGCTCAGTGGGACTGCAGGATTTTGAAGCGTCTCTGGAAGCCTGAGCCATCCCCTTTAGAGTGTGAAACATGAGTTTGTGTCCATGTTAAGGCTCACGGGGAAACCTGCCCCAGTCCCCATGATGATTCAGGGCCCGGTGAGTACCTGCATGGCTTATCGAGCCATTGGCAAAACAGCAAATGGTTAACACACTGGGCTGTTGTCTGAAAGGGTGTAGGTCCAAGTCTACCCAGGGATGCCTCAGAAGAAAGACCTGGCAATCTACTTCCAAAAGATTAGCCATTGAAACCTTTGGAGTGCAGTTCTCCTCTGAGTTGCTGTCGACGCCACAGCAGCTGGTTTACAGAGTTGTCCTTTTCAGCCAGGCTCTCTTTTGCAGTCAAGTGTGTGTCCTGCTCTTGGAGACTCTGGAGCTGGCCCTTCTGAGGGCATGAGAATGCTGTGGATGCAAGGTGACCCTGGACACTGGCACCTCTGAGTCTGGTGTGCACTTTTACTCAAAGCGCATCTTGTTAACATGAGCACGAAAAGAGAGAGGCTGCAGGTTTTCCTCTTCCTTCTGGCCAAGCGAGGTGCTTGCTGCCAGTGAAAATACAGCATCTTTGCTGTGACTTCTGTTGAGACCCTCCATTGGTTATTTAAATGAGATTCACTCTGACTTAAAAACAGCTGTTTAGTTACTAAACCAGGGTTCACTCTGATTTATTTCCGGATCTAGGGGACACGGTTGGAAGCACTCTTTAGATTTTCCGTGATATGGCACCTGACGAGAGAGATCCAAGGCAGCCGGGTCACGTCTCACAATCGCTCCTTCGATAGGTGAGGCGTCTTCGTCATAATTTATCCTCAATGTGAAGAAAATTTTGCAGGGGCTCGGAGTCAGCGTGTTGGGCTGGGGGTGGGGAGAAAGGTGTGTGATTGAGGTCATGACCTGTTTTCTTGGTGCACACCATGACCACTCTACATGACTTTAAGCCTGAAACATGTGACTGCGTGTTAGAGATTTTCTTAATTTGTCAGGGGAGGGAGGAGGCCAGGCCTGCATCAAAATACAAAATGCCTCCGATGAGGGAAATTTGTGAGGAGACATAATGTTCTAGACCTCGACTGGAATGGTGTTACTCTGAGTGTAGACACTTTTCAGGTCACCGACTGTCCACTTACAATGTGTGAATTTCACTGCAGATACACTCTTCTCTAAGTTGTTTTTAAAAAGTGCCTGGCCTAGTCTCTGAAACCCCAGGTGTGGGGCCAGACATGCAGTGTTAGAGAGATGCCCAGCTGGTTCCGATGCCTGGGCCCCACCCTCTGATCCAGATTTATCTGGTTTGGGGTGAGGCCTGGGCCATCGGGGTCTTAAGAGCTCCCTGGTGATTTGAACGTGAAACCAAGGTCGACCCGGCTCTGGAGGACACTACCATCCACCTCGTTCTACCCCAGTGTCTGCTGTCTGCCCCGTGCCCGGCACAGGGGCAGTTGAGTGTTTGAGCTGATGGGGTGATATGGCTGTGTGGTTCTCACCGGCAGATCCTTGTTCGTCGTCCTGGACAGCCTGGCCTGCTCAGATGGCGCCATTGGTGCAGCGGCCCAGGGCTGGCTGGTGCGGGCACTCTCTCTTGGGGATGTGGCACGCATCCTTGAGCCCGTACTCCTGCTGCTGCTCCAGCCCAAGACCCAGAGGACCTCCATCCACTGCCTCAAGCAGGAGAACTTGGCAGGTGAGCACTCGGGCAGGGCCCCCGAGGGTCCCCTGGTGCAGGGAGGGGAAAATGGCGAACAGGGTGGACTCAGATTCACTGGACCTCAGCTGACCTGTGGTTACAGTTAGGAAACTTAAACACCCACTTCGTGGTTCTACTACATTCAGATGGTGTGAAAGTATATCCAATTCTCATTCTTTTTGGTAGTCATGTTCTATAAGAGGTACTGGTGGTCAGTGGTAGAATTTCCATCTTCCACATGGGAGACCCGGATTCAATTCCCAGCCAATGCACGTCATGCGCAGCTACCACCCATTTGTCAGTAGAGGCTTGCAGGTTGCTATGATGCTGAACAGGATTCAGAGGAGCTTCTAGACTAAGAGGGTCTAGGAAGAAAGGCCTGGTGCTCTGCTTCTCACAGCACCACCTTGCTGCTTCTTCTAATTGATGTTTTCCATTGACCCCAGGAGTGCTCTGCTACTTCCTAGTAGGAGAGAACTTTTCTCCACTGTTTCGTTTCCCTGGAAGAAGCTAGACACAGACTGCTTACCCTACCCTACCTCTGTAATCCTGTAGAAATCTGTTTTTAAAAATTCCTGTGCACTTCAGGCAGCTTGTCTGTTTCTAATATCTCATTCTTCCTCCTTTCTAATCTAGCTTAATGTTCACGGAATAGATTTGATGAAAGTTACATATTAAAAATGTTTGGCAATGCCAAAGACTTCTGGCTTTCACTTCTTTTTAAAGAGCCCTGAGTATTTAAAAGTGTTTAGTTTCTGATTACAGAAGTACTAACATGCTTATTTTTTAAAAGTTGAAATAAGGAAGTAAAAGACATAAGTGAAAGTCCTTTGTAATGCCAGCTGATAGAGCTAATTACTATCAATGATTTGGCAGATATTCTTCCAGACTTTTTCTGCACATATAGCTGCATATTGCTTTCGTTGTTAGATGCCATTGAGTCAGCCCCTAACTCATGGCGACCCCTTGCACAGTGGAACGAAACGCTGCCCGGTCCTGTGCCATCCTCATGATCAATTGTAGATCATATTGTTGTGACCCACAGGGTTTTCATTGGCTGATTTTCAGAAGTAGATCACCAGGTCTTTCTTCCTAGTTTATCTTAGTCTGGAAGCTTCACTGAAAACTGTTCAACATCATAGCAACCTGCAAGCCTCCACTGACAGATGGGTGGTGGCTGTGCATGAGGTACTCTGGCCGGGAATCGAACCCGGGGCTTCTGCATGTCAGGTGAGAATTCTACTATGGTACCATCACTATCTCTATATTAGATATAATCTCTCTTAAATGAGCTCGTTCTTTGCATACAGTACTACAGCTTGATTTCTGTCTTTGTTTTTATTTTTCTTCACATAATATATCCTGCACAGCTCCAGATCAGTACACACAGATGTATCTTTTTAAAACCCACACAGTAGTCATTGCCCGTATGAACCATGATTTTCTCAGTCAGCCTCTGACTGTGGATGTTCCGTTTACCTTCCACTTTGTCTTTACATATGATGTTTCAGTGTATACTCTTACCCTTATTATAAACTTGAAGCCCTTCTCCTGGTATTTCTGGAGGATAAAGTTCTTGAAAGGAAACCCCTAGGCCAAAATAATACGTATTTTTCAAATTGCCTCTGAAAAAGGTTGTGATATTTATGTTTCTTATGACAGTGTGAGTAAATTGACCAAGTCCTTCACCATTTAAAAGATCTGTGCACTTTGTGGGCCTACCTTCTGTTGATAATGGAATCTCGGTTATAGTGCCATGGTTTCTTGTGGATGTTTTATTTTTAAAATCAACCTTTCTGTCTGGTTTAAGACAAAGCTCACTCTAAAGTTTGTTCATCACCGCTAACCCTTCACTTCTGAAGTCCTCGGTCACTTTAATTTTCAGAAAACTTGCATCGTTGGTTCAACAGGAAGAAAACCTCATTCAAGGAAGCATGCGGGCCACCTGAGCTTCCAGAAGGCGGCTCCGAGGAAAACCTGCCTCTGAGTCAGTTCACCACCATGGACCGCGAAGCCATCTGGGCCGAAGTGGAGAAGGAGCCAGAGAAGGGCCCATCCCAGAGCGAGCTGAGTGAGGAGGACCTCCCCTGCGACACGGGCCTGCCAGACGGGCCCGCGCAGGGTATCCCAGACAGCAGCGAGCACACTGAGTCCGCAGACACGAGCTCCGGGCACACGGACAGCGAGAACACATCCTCCTTCTCGTCCCCGTCCCGCGACCCATGGGAGCTGAGCAGCGACGACAACTGCTGCGCCCCCATCCCTGTGGTCGGCAGAGCCTACGTCAAGCACCCGGCCCTGCTGACCACCGTGCAGTCGGAAAGCTTCAAGTCCAGTGCCAAATTAAGTCTGGTGCGCGTGGACTCGGACAAGACCCAGGCCTCGGAGTCGCTGTCCAGCGATGAGGAGGCCGACCTGGAGCTGCAGGCTCTCACCACGTCCCGGCTGCTGAAGCAGCAGCGGGAGCGGCAGGAGACCCTTGAGGCTTTGTTCAAGCACATTCTGCTGTACCTGCAGCCCTATGACTCCCGGCGGGTCCTCTATGCCTTCTCAGTGCTGGAGGCCGTGCTCAAGACCAACCCCAAGGAGTTCATCGAGGCCGTGTCCAAGACCAGCATGGACACCAGCTCCACCGCGCACCTGAACCTCATCTCCAACCTCCTCGCGCGCCACCAGGAGGCCCTTGTGGGCCAGAGTTTCTATGGGAAACTGCAGACCCAGTCCCCCAACATGTGCCCGCACTCCCTGCTGATCGAGCTCCTCACCTACCTGTGCCTGAGCTTCCTGCGCTCCTACTACCCTTGCTACCTAAAGGTCTCCCACCGGGACATCCTCGGCAACCGGGATGTGCAGGTCAAAAGCGTTGAGGTTCTCATCAGAGTGATGACGCAGCTGGTCTCCATGGCCAAGTCTTCAGAAGGGAAGAACGTGGAGTTCATCCACAGCCTGCTGCAGAGGTGCAAAGTGCAGGAGTTTGTCTTGCTCTCCCTGTCCGCATCCATGTACACGAGCCAGAAGCGCTACAGCCTGGCTACCTCCGAGCGCGACAGGGCGCTGCAGAAGGACAGCCTCTTTGAGGAGAGCCTCATCAACCTGGGCCAGGACCAGATCTGGAGCGAGCACCCACTGCAGATCGAGCTGCTCAAACTCCTGCAGGTGCTGATTGTCTTGGAGCACCACCTGGGCCAGGCCCAAGAGGAGGTGGAGAGCCAGCCCGAGCTGTCCCGCGAGTGGCGGCGGACCCTCGGCTTCCAGCAGGCCATCAGCGCCCTGCAGTACGTGCAGCCACACCCCCTCACCTCCCAGGGCCTGCTGGTCTCAGCCGTGGTGCGTGGTCTGCAGCCCACCTATGGCTATGGCATGCACCCAGCCTGGGTCAGCTTGGTCACGCACTCTCTGCCGTACTTTGGGAGGTCCCTGGGATGGACGGTGGCGCCCTTCGTGGTTCAGATTTGCAAGAACTTGGATGAGCTGGTCAAGCAGTATGAAAGCGAATCCGTGAAGCTCTCCATCAGGTACACCGTCCCCTTTGCTGTTGTTGTTGTCGTCAGTTGATGTTGAGTCAATTCCGACTCATGGCGACCCCGTGTGTCCCAGAGTAGAGCTGCTCCATAGGGTTCTCTTGGCTGTAATCTTACAGAAGCAGATCACCAGACCTTTCTTTTGTGGCACCACTGAGTGACTGCAAACCGCCCACCTTCCAGTTACCAGCCAAGCACAAACTGGCCACCCAGGGACCTACACAGACCCCTTTGGTGCTCATTGTTTTTAATTACAGCTTTTGTATTGAATAGATTCCAGAGGGTCATTTCACGCTAAGCAGAAACCTTGGTGTTGTCAAGAGGGGTAACAAGAAACTAAATACTCAGATCCTTTATGTTTAATTCCATGCAGCTACCCGGGTTAGTTCAGTGTTGATGGGCAAGGCACTCACTCTCTGCTATTTCTGCAAAACAGAAGTAAAAATGTGAATCACCTTCGCAGAAATTCTACAACATTTTCCCAAACTGACTCTGTGTATGTAAAATAGCACAAGAGATGCTTATCATTTTTATACTATTTCACTTTGAGAGCCCCAGTTTATTTAAGATAGTGCTCTTTGCCTGCTTTATACATTTATATATAGGATGAAAAACCTTTATGGCCTAGAGGGGGTGGTTGCCCAAAATGATGACTGTACTAAGTGCCACTGAATTGTTCACTTTAAAGTGATTAATGGTTAATTTTATGTGAATTTTACCTCAATTTTTATAAAAAGGCAAAAAAAAAAAAAGCAACCACATTCTTCAAAATTCTCAAAATGAGTTTCTCATTTTTTCACCAAAGCATGACCTCCAAGAGGGAAAACATTTCTCCGGATTATCCGCTTACTCTATTGGAAGGTCTCACAACCATTGGTCACTTTTGCCTTTTGGAACAACCCAACCAAAGCAAAAAGGTAATTTCATTTTCCTGGTTTCAAGGTAACTTCACTGTATTATTTAGTGTACACTGGGTCATGACTTTTCAAACCAGGGCCACTGGTGTGGACTGGTAACTGTGGTTTCTTGCTGCCCCTTCCCGGTCTCCTTTAGCTCCTGCCCATTGTTTCTTCTGTGGCGTACTGATAAAAGGTAAATCCCCTGGTTTGGTTTTAGGCTATATTTATCTGTTTTCCACATATTTTTTAGTTTCGTGATGTTCGTGAAATCTGAGTTGGAAGATATTTTAGTTGTTGGCTGCTCTACCCTCTCTGGGATTAAATTTCTGAATATAGCTAATGCTCTGTTTGTATAGTTGAAAATTTTCATAATTTGGAGCCTCGTACTCAACAATTTTTAGATGTCTCTCTTTGAAACAAAACTGTGGATTTAAATGCACAGGGAAGTGTATTTGCTTCTAGCCCCCCATGTGTATGGCATGCTTCAAAGAGAGTTCAACTTCCCAGACTTGATCCCACCAGTGACACCATCCTCACAAAAGGGAAACTGTCTCGCAGATACAAGTGCATGTCATGGGCTCATTTTAATTTTCTAGACCACTGCGGTAAGTGATACCACCAACCTGAGAAATGCCAAGAACGCCATTCTGGAAGAGCTGCCACGAATTGTGAACACCATGGCACTCCTCTGGAACGTGCTCAGAAAAGAAGAGACTCAAAAGAGACCCGTCGATCTCCTCGGGGCCACAAAGGGGTCCTCTTCCGTTTACTTTAAAACCACAAAAGTAAGAGACCTTCCTTTATGATTTTATTATTTCCTCTGTCTTGTATTATCCCACTAATAGCAAACATATACATGAATATATAGTCCAATAACTAAACAAAATGTGCTCAGTGAAACCCACGTTAGAAATCTCCAGTGTGTTTCTTACGAACCAGTTTCATGTTCATGGAATGTGAAAAGGGCACGAATTTTAGGGGCCAGAGGGGGAGCTGATGTGGGTTGATTTATGTCCTCCCCAAAAAATATGTTCAGGCTTTATGAGTGAGTGGCAGCCTATTTTCTTATATTTTTCTGCTTGCTTTTTTTTTTTTTTTTTTTTAAATAACTAAAAATTAGGTTTCTGGGGTATGGCAATGGGGGTACCTAGTGTCCTTACTGTTTCTTTAAAGCTGCTTTGATAACACAGCTAACCTTGATGCTCTGTTTTTAATGGTGCCTTTGGAACACGGGCACATTAGGGTGGGATACTGGGGTACCTTTGAGGTTTTTTATTAAACCTGACACACAACCATGGTTTACTCTCCCTCGGTTTTAACCAGCTCAGCCTCCGAAGACTCTTTTATTTTTTTTTTCCCATACAAAACTTTATACATACACTGTTATGTGACTAATTGCTCTCCCCATACTGTGACAGCACACTCCTCCTTTCCACCCCTGATTCCCCATGTGCATTCAGCCAGCTCCTGACCCTCTCTGCCTTCCCATCTCACCTCTGGACAGAAGCTGCCCGTTTAGTCTCTTATATCTGCTTGAGCTAAGAGGCACATCCTCACGAGTATCACTTTACGTCCCATGGTCCAGTCCAATCCCTGTCTGAAGAGCTGGCCTCGGAAATTGTTTTAGTTCTGGGCTGATAAAGAATCCAGGAGCCATGCTTTCCGTTGTTCCTCCAGTCTCAGTCAGACCGTGAAGTCTGGTCTTCGGAAGACTCTTGAACGTCCAGGCACACAGCTCAGTTTGACTGTGTCACAGTGTTCAGAATTATCTGACAGCGCCTAGCATCTTAGATGGGGTTGCAGGGCTTACACAGTGTCTGATAGCCCTGGTTGAATGGGGTGGCTCAGCTCCCTGCTGACCTGGGGCAAGTTCATTAACCTGTTCCTTCAGTTGGAAGCGTGATGCCCGGCATCATCCAAAGTGCTCTGCGTTTATCATGGTATTTAGTCCTCATGCTGACCCTCCAAGGCAGGTGCTATCATCATTCCCAAATTACAGATAAGGAAATTGGAGTGCAGAGAGAAGGAGTGCTTTGCCCATACTTGTGCATATAATAATGAGGAAGCTGGGATTAGACCCAGGCAGTCTGACGCACAGGGCTGCATGCTGTTAGGTAATGCAGTGAACAGGCAGCCTCCAGAATGTTCTGTAGGTTAAAGGGCACCCTATACGGGATATCAGCAGCATTTCAAACTGCTACAAGAACCACCCTAAAGCCCAGGTCTGCTCTAAAAAAGGTGTAGAAAACCCTTAGGCCCTCAACCTCTCTGAACCTCAGTTTCCTCATCTGTAAAATGAGGCTGTGATTGGTATCTCACCTTATGGGCTGATGGAAAGGTTAGTTATAACAATGGCTGATGCTTCTTGAGCACTTAGCTCCAAGCCCTCCCCAAAGGACCCAAGGGCTGGGACCTCAGTATTTTCTCTAGAGCAGCAGCCGTGGTGGGATGGAGAGGACACCTCTGCCCCAGGCTCAACAGGTAGCTGAGGACATAGTAAGCACTCAGCAAATTCATTCAACAAACGTTTGCTTCCTGCTGTGTACAGGGCACTGTGTGGTGGACTCCTGTACACTGCTGGTGGACTCTTGTCTGCTGGTGGACTCTTGTCTGCTGGTGGACTCTTGTCTGCTGGTGGACTCGTGTCTGCTGGTGGAGTCTTGTCTGCTGGTGGACTCTTGCCTGTTTGTGGACTCTTGTCTGCTGGTGGACTCTTGTCTGCTGGTGGACTCTTGCCTGCTGGTGGACTCTTG